ACTCTATGCTGGAGAAATATATGTTTATATATCTGAAGTAAAACACAGGAGAACAATAACACAATGAAGACGTTTCTACTCTATACTGGAAAAATATATGTTTATATATCTGAAGTAAAACACAGGAGAACAATAACACAATGAAGACGTTTCTACTCTATGCTGGAGAGAAATATATGTTTATATGTCTGAAGTAAAACAGGAGAACAATAAAAACTACGAATTTACTTCTATGTTATTTACTTTTATGTTATTTACTTCTATGTTATGATGCTATATTGTTGAACAACTATTTCAGATAAAAACATAATAAACCCTCGAAATAATTCTTTAAAATGTATTCCTGTTGTTATTTCTCTCAAGAATGTCTTTATTTTATAATTTAAACTCGTGTTACTGAGTTATTCTTTATCTCTCAAGAATGTTTTTATTTTATAATTTAAACTCGTGTTACTGGGTTATTCTTTAACTTTCAAGAATGTCTTTATTTTATGTTTTAAACTCGCGTTACTGTGTTATTCTTTATCTCTCAAGAATGTCTTTATTTTATGTTTTAAACTCGTGTTACTGTGTTATTCTTTATCTCTCAAGAATGTCTTTATTTTATGTTTTAAGCTCGTGTTACTGTGTTATTTTATTATCTCTCAAGAATGTCTTTATTTTATGTTTTAAACTCGTGTTACTGGGTTATTCTTTAACTTTCAAGAATGTCTTTATTTTATGTTTTAAACTCGTGTTACTGGGTTATTCTTTAACTTTCAAGAATGTCTTTATTTTACGTTTTAAACTCGTGTTACTGGGTTATTATTTAACTCACAAGAATGTCTTTATTTTATGTTTTAAACTCGTGTTACTGGTTATTCTTTATCTCTCAAGAATGTCTTTATTTTATGTTTTAAACTCGTGTTACTGGGTTATTCTTTACCAGTTCTTTAACAGAATGTCTTTATTTTATATTCCCAGACAGTGTAATTAACAAACTAGAAACAGTTTGTTAATTACAGCATTTCTCGCAGACATGATATCTATTGTAACTTCCTTGTGATCATCGTTATTTATTCACCAAACCTTCTATTAAGATTAGTGAAGAGAATAGATTAATAAATTTGTAGATATTTTCTTTTCTTAAGGCACATCTGTTTTAAAGTTTTATCGTAAATAATTTTCGTTTTGTAATCATTCAGAACGAGCTCGTTTCTTCGTTTGTGTTTCCCCTTATTTTAATTCAGAGGAGAGCTCTTGAAATTTGTCAGGAAGATGAATGATGATAACATGAATCAAGTTGTGATAGGTACGGAACCGAATTACATAAAGGGCTTTCTTCCGTATCCCATGTGCGTGCTGACTGTCCTATTTATTCTCGACCAATCCGTATAGTTAGGGATGACATTTTCAATCTCCAGTTAACACGTTTTATAGATTTACAGCCAATTAGATTTCCGTGTATCGCCGAAACACCGATTTGATGTGTGATAATGTTTTCACCAGCTTAGCGGGAAAGCAAGCTTACGTTTCGGATTACCGACTTAATGGTCATATTGCGGCTGAAAGGTTCCCCAACGCACCCTCAAGGGAGCAGTATTTGAAGACAATCCCCATCAAAGGGAAGGTGGACATAATTTCAGTCGTCTGTAAAGACGTCAACCAGTTTTAGTACTACACTTGTTTACGTGGCCGAATAAGTTAAAACTGAAGAAAATACTGAGCACGTGGACTTGTATATTTCGTGAAATAGGTCCAGAGAAATAACTTCAGATAACTGTGATTACAATAAGACGTTCTATACAGTGTCACAACAACAATAACTAATCGATAAACTTAGTATTACAATAAAAACAATATTTTGTGTTGTTTAGAGTGTCAGATAAGTCATTGTTACAGTTAAAATGTGGATGTATAAACACTTAAAAAAATATATATGGATATATAAACACTTAAAATAGATGTAGTGGATATATAAACACTTACAGGAAGAAACATCAGGAAGAAAAGTTACATCTGTGTGAGGTCTGCTTTTACAACAAGTAGAAAAGTTACATCTGTGTGTGGTCTGTTTTTACAACAAGTAGAAAGTTACATCTGTGTGTGGTCAGTTTTACATCAGGAAGAAAAGTTACATCTGTGTGAGGTCTGTTTTACAACAAGTAGAAAGTTACATCTGTGTGTGGTCTGTTTTTACAACAAGTAGAAAAGTTACATCTGTGTGTGGTCTGTTTTTACAGCAAGTATAAAAGTTACATCTGTGTGTGGTTCTTGGTTTGTATCTTTTCATTAAAGTACCTTTAATGTTCAGTTTGTTTATCTTCTGAATATCAACATTATCAGCCCTCGAGTTGACTATTAAGCCACAAGGAGGCACTGAAAGCAATTAAAATAAAATGGAATTCATTGTTTGTAAGTGTTCAGCAATCTGTATTCCAGTTTAATGTAGATCGACATGAACTATAACCATACCGAACTTTATTATTATCATTAAGACACCCATTCTTTATGTGATGTCCTCAGTTGTAATCAGTGGTGCTATTGATGGACCACTTGGTTCCACAGCTGTAATCCATAGTGCTACCTATGGACCACTTGGTTCCACAGCTGTAATCCATAGTGATATCGATGGACCACTTGGTTCCACAGCTGTAATCCATAGTGTTATGGATGGGCCACTTGGTTCCACAGCTGTAATCCATAGTGCTATCGATGGACCAATCGGATACACAGCTGTAATCCATAGGGTTATGGATAGACCACAGGTGTAATCTGTAGTGCAATGGATGGACCAGTCGGATACACAGCTGTAATCCATAGTGTTATGGATGGACCACTTGGTTCCACAGCTGTAATCAGTGGTGCTATCTATGGACCACTTGGTTCCACAGCTGTAATCCATAGTGCTATCTATGGACCACTTGGTTCCACAGCTGTA